AAATAATTGCCTGCCCCTCTACTAGTAGCTACTAGATAATGAGTTAATTAGCAAGGATTAACACCTACAAAACCACAGACTAAGGAGAGGAAATAATACAGACAATCAACTTCCCCAAGAAAGACACAGTCAGTTGCACAAGCATCCATGTCACGAGTTTTGCCTGTCAGCAGCTTGAGATGCAGTTCCCCCCAAACCCCTGCACCTATCTTCTTGAAACTTGGCAGACTTTGTGGCCTCACCAGGGGCTACCATCCCTGCAGTTTTCACCCCCTGTGGTATAACACATACATGTGACATGAGGTTTGCTTTCAAGAATTTCGGGTGCAGTTCCCCCCAAACCCCTGCACCTATCTTCTTGAAACTTAGCAGGCTTCATGCTCTCAGGAAAGGTTACCACCCCTGCAGGTTTCATCCAAAGCAGACAAAAAACAACAAAGTTATAGGTATTTCATTGATTCCCCATTATACCCTATGGCTGGATCTCCAAAGCGGCTCCGAAGCTTTTCCAAAGTGGTTTGGAAGCTCCGAACCACTTTGGAAAGCCTAAGGAAGCCAGTGCTTTGATCCAGACATGCTGCTTCAGTGTCCGAAGCGTCCGAATCTTCTCCGGATCCGAACCACAGTCTGAAGCCTCGCACAGCTCTCGTATCTTGAATAAATAAAAGAATCCAGTGTTAAGAAGACTAATCAGTTAATTCTTCAGGAACCTGAAGATGCCATTTGTTTGTAGAAGTTATGTTTGATATGGACTTCAATATCAGCTTCTCAAAACCAGCAGATCTGAAAAAGCCTTTTCCCATCTTGGGCAGTATAATAGATCTCTTCCTCAGAGGGTATATACACATGTACCATTTCAGAAGGGGCACAGTTCCAAAGGGCAGCTGCTAAGTTCTAATTGTTGTGTGTGGACAAAACAGGAAAGATTCAGAAGTAGCAAAACTGCTTCATCTTTAATATTGCTTCCTCCATCCCATTTCTGTGGTTACAAAAACATTAGTCTGTCTTATTTGATATGGTAGGTAAACAAATATTTAAATTGTTTCCTCTGATTTTTTTTTAATTTGTTCTCCTAGTTTCCAGAATTTTGGCCACATGTTCAGTTGGTTTGATTTGAAATACAGCGTCAGGTTTTCTTTTAATTGATATTAATCAACTTCTTATTTGCTTTTATATGCGTTAATGTGTTAATAATGACATACATGAATGTTTTGATTTTGTTTCATTTGGAGAGCTAGTGAAACAAAACCCTGGAAATTACCATTAGTACACTGATGCTTGTTTCATGAAAAAGTGGATGTCAAATTCATGGTTTATTAATGCAAGTTCATTAGGTTTCATAGTCTGTTTGTTTAATTATAGCATTCGTTGGAGCATTTAACTCTATGCTTAAGACTGCCAAATAGTGCAATGATAACCCATTTTGATATGATCAGAACTTTCTGGGAAATAACTTCTGGGATGAAATTTTCTGGACTTCGTTTTAGACAAGAACAGACCTATTTATTTATTTATTTTCAAAATTCCCTCAGCTACTTTGAGTTTAAATATTTCCATTTATTTTTTAAATTGCCACGTATCTGATCACTAAGTTAAAATGGCTGACCTTTCAAACTCAGAATAGAGTCCCCCATTTAGAACTACTTGCATGACTAATTAGGGAAAATGAGTAAATTAAAGAATAACTGTGAATTAGTACCTGTTAGTTTATTTTAGAAAACTTAAATCTGAGTCTTCCCACTTAGAGTCTAATCCTAAGAAGAGTTGAGCCTCTTGCATAGATTTTAGAGTGAATAGAAGATGATCAACATCTTGGTGAATGATCAACATCTTGGCTCAAAAGCATGCACTGTGTAAGGCAGTAGTTTTAGATGTTCACCTGTTCAGTACACACTTTATGTTAGAGGGTATGAGGCAGTAAGGAGATTTTAAATACCTTAGGTGCTTCCCAGGTTTGCACGTCTCAGTGTAGTTTATTAGCAGCTTGAACATGTACATTGCCTTACAGGATCTACTGTGGCTTAAAAACCTTTTGACTTGTGTACTACCAGTTAGGATTTTACCTCTGTTGTTATCTGTAGTACTTGCAGGGCTCTGCCCTGTTTGCCAGTGCATTCCCAAGCCTGTTTCAAGTACCATCACTTACTTGCCACAACTTCGATATTGTTTGTGGTTGCTGGGGAGGGGTCCCTGAGAGCCAGAAATCACCTCGGAGGGTGGGCTGATCTGTCCATCCTGATCAGCTGCACCTGGTGCCTTCTGCCCTCTCCCAGTACTTTGCCTTAAGGGAGACACCCACGGTGGTTATGGGGCACTTGTTACGATCTTGGCTATCACAGCCTCAACCCCCTTTTTCTCCAGGGCCTCTTCCTCCACCTGGGCCTATGGTTCAAGGCCTCAGCTTCAAGGTTTGGCTCTACCTTGACAGCAAACCCTGTTTCTGGGGCCTGATTCCTGGCATTTTACCTGTTTAAACCCTCCTAATAACAGGGGAAGGAGTTCCCTGTTACATCATACTCAGTTGACATTTTAGATAAATTGTAACTGACAGTTTTGCATATGTCATAGATTTATTAGTGGGAAGATTCTGACTTACTCAATTCATTAAACTTCCTGTTAATCAAGCAGTTTTCACCTTGCCGTGGGTCCCCTTAAAAAAACAAATGTTTTGTTCCATTGAGAGGAAATGCCTCTTTCTAGCCTAGTTGCTACCACTTCATATTGGCGGGCCCTTCTGTGCATCATTCAGTGTAATGAACAATGAGACACTGTAAGCATCTATGTTTTTTCAGCCAGTCATGCCATGAATAAATGCATATGTCTTGTAAAGCTTCACCATTTTGGTCCACTGCAGTAATATGTGGGTTGCTAAGCAAAAATTGTTATACTGATGGATGCCGAAGAACAGAATCAGAAAGTTTGATCATCAGCAAAAAACACCACAAACCTGGGGCCTTTAGATTAATTGAATCTTTGTGTTTCCAGCTGTCAGTAGCATAAATCTGTGCTGTTTTGTCAATTAGACAAATGTTCACTACCTCAGCCCTGGATTAGTTGGTTTATGATATCATTTTGTGCCGTATACATTATGTGGTTAAAATAAATTGTGTATATCATTAACGATTGCCCCTTCATATTGCCCTGCCTTTCCTCCCCCACCTGAAGGATCATGCCTTGAAAGGATTGTGTCTAGTGAACACTGAGGTATCCAGTTTTCTATTAAAGGCCTTAATTCTTTTGCTGGTGCAGCCTCGCCCAGGAAATTGAGGACTGTGGACATGGATCACTTTCTCCTGCCTTCTTTATATGAGCATTGGGAAATGACTGAGAAAATAGTTGCTTAATTTAGTTAGTTTCTTTTATATTACAGCAAAGTTTTTTAGAGTCTTTGGAAGTTTAAAAAAAGGATTTTAATGACTTTTTAGGCAGCAGAATTAGTGACTAAAGAACTTTTATTTCTAGCTTTTTTGATTCTCTTTGATTTGTTTGATAGATTCTATTTTATTTATGGGTACGTCAACTTATTATATGCTTATCATTGTATCTAAATGTGGTGATAAATACTGAAATAGACTGAACCAAAGGCCAAGTAATGTTGGCCAAAAATTCAGACCACTGTCCACTGACCTGTGATTCTCCACCATCTAAAAGAGTCATATTAAACCATGCATTTTGCATTGTACCTTCAAGGCTATTAAATGCAGAAATTTGTTTTATATTATGGTGGACTGAAGACCCAGAGTTGTTGGGTAGTACCTAGGTGAGGGAGTCAAGTTCCTGAACCATGTACGCCCTTCTTCTCTCGGATCTTGAAGCACCACGTTATGCATTTTCTTTCTTATTATATCCTTACAGATATAAGGAGAGGCTGGGGACTGCGGGGGACAGATGCACCTCTATGAGGGAGCAGAGGCTCTATATATGGTGTATCCGCCATTCTCTGGATCCCACAGGCTACCCTTACTGTATGTACAGTGCTTTTATGTAGTATCTATAATTCTACTCTTATATGATCCTATAGTTAACATCTGGGTTCATCCAGAAGAATACTGAGAACTTGTTGCAGTATCCATTGAACTCAGGTAGCATATTTCTACCGTCTTTATGAAGCACTGTATTAAAACCCATTAGAAGTAAAGAGATTGTTTAGTATAATCTGGCTACTGTTATTTTTATTTGTAAGTCATCTAGTGCAATGTCTTACTATATTGAAGGAAAAAAAAGGAAGGAAACAAAAATCTAGAGCTGGTACAAATAAAACTGTTAAAAACAATTAAGACTATTGAAAATATTTGCAGACAATGAAAGGCTTGGGATAAAAACCCACCTACTATAAGTCTATTTGTTACATGAGATGATTCTTTTTTCTTTTCAAATTATAAAACCTGAAAAATAATTTTAAAATAAATTAACTTCTAAATATAGTGAGGCAGGAGGGAGCAGAGGCAGGTAAAGGAAAGCGATGTGTCTGCGCTGGGGTTCTGCACTGCTGTCTCTATTAGTGAGACCCATGCACTGTCTTCTGGGCCTGACCTTGCTGGGAGCAAGTCATCACTTTGCTTGCTCACTGTTCGCCTAGTGAATAAAAAAAATCTGCTGAAAATGGAAAGAAATGGGAGGAGTAGAGCAGATAGCAGGGACACGTGGGGGAGGGAGA